AAATAAATAAATAAATAAATAAATAAATAAATAAAATAAAATAAAATAAAATAAAATAAATAAAATAAAGGCACAGGCTTCAAGTGCTCAGGAAGATGACCTGGATGTTCAGTCCAGTGAAGACAGTTAGCCTTTGAATTCAAATCAGAGTTTAACCAAGCTTGCAGGCTAAGCGATCAGGACTGGTTTAAGACTCAGTTTCTTTCCCTGTACAATGACACCACATCTTCAAGTCAGTGTGACTCAGGTTGAAAAAAAAATATCTTGAAGGCATTTAGCACAATTCTGGAACATAGTGACCATTCAAAAATAAGTCCTTAATATTAAAAACAGTAATATGTCAGTAGCAGTAATGGTACAGTCATGGGACACAAGACTATATAGACTAAACTCAAGTAAGTCACACTTTTAAGAAAAATATTTACTGCCTACATAATGTACTAGGCACTGGGGGTCTCAATTAAGAAAAATAATATATGATGTCTGCCCTAAAAACTCTCCAGTTAAATGATGCATGAGAAATATATTTACCATACGAGAATTAAGTATCAAATGAATAATAAAGATAATAATAATAATAATAATAATAATAGGGGGTTAGAGGATATAGAGTTCATAGAATGGAATAAGTAATAATATTCATTATCTGGTAAAAATGCAGAATTTGGATATCTATATGTATATACACATATTTAAAGAGAGAGAGAGATTTCTTCAATATTTTTATCCACAACTTCTCAACCCATATTTAAGATAAATAGTAATTTGGCAAAAACAAAAGCCATTTAATCATTACCTAAATATTAAGTAATTCTAGGAAATCAATTTCTATCTGATGAACTAAAAAAAGCCAATCATAAAAAAGAGAGTTAGTACAAGCAAGAATTTGAGTAGCCTCAGAAGCCCAATGTCAGGCATTACATTTCAGTTAGCTTGTGAGAAATTAATTGGGATAGAAATCAATAAGAAATGAGGGAAGTGGAGCTCTTTTTAAACAAAAGTACAATTGGTCTATAATCATATAATCAATAGCTTCTTTTAGCTGTTGCATGGACAAGTGCCCAGAGCACTGAACTGAAGATTTTATGTATATGATAAATGAAAGAATCATTGGCTAATAATCATCTTGGTAATCATATCAAGTGGACTTATTAAGATAATATTGATTATTATTTTTTATTACTATACATAACTTGGTTGCGTTGCAGAGGTCAAAGATAAATTTATACTCAGAATGTTCCAGTCCTCTATTTTGCTATTATCTCATATTGATGAGATTTGAAAGTAAAGACTATTTTAAGATACTTATATATAGAGAGAATTTAATTTTATGACTTTAGATTTATTTATACATTTATGACTTCAACAAATGTCTTCGGGGCTGGGGATACCACTGTGCATATAACACATGAAATATAAATAAATCAATGCATATAATAAATTATAAATTACATATTATATAAGAATTGTTAAGTAATGAAAGTGGTTTTAAGAAAGATGAAGCTGAATACTACATGAACAGAGATTCTTTTTAAAGCTCTCTAAGGAGACCAAATTTGGTCAGAGACCAGTGAACCATGCATATTATGTGTAGGGTAAGATCATCTTAGGAGAAAGAAGTAGGGTGCACTGACCCTAATGCTGAAGTAGATTCAGGTTATTTAAGAAGAGCAAGAAGGCCAATATGTCTAGAGGCACAGAGAGGTCTAGTAACTTAACTTAAATTCTGCTCTCGGTTTGAAACATTTTTTACTAGAGGCCTGGTGCATGAAATTTGTGCATCAATTCTGCTCTCAGTTTGAAACTCAGAATTTTATTTTTTACTAGAGGCCTGGTGCATGAAATTTGTGCATGGGGTGGGGGAGGGAGTCCCTCAGCCCGACCTGCACCCTCTCCAATCTGGGAGCCCTCGGAGACCTGTGGCTCCTAACCGCTCACCTGCCTGCATGCCCTAACCACTCTACCTGCCTGCCTGATCCCCCTAACTGCCCTCCCCTGCCAGCCTGGTCGCCCCTATTGACTTTTTTTTTTTAATCTTATCCCCTTCACACATAGTTGTATTTGACTTCCTTACTGGCTTCTCCCTCTCACATAGTTTTTCTCTCTCCTTTATGTAACACTTTTTCCTACTGACTCATCATTTATAAACTTT